GGGGGCAGGGAGGTACCTCTGTAGACGGACGAGAGGGGCAGCGAGGACAGGCCTTGGCTTTGCATTTGCTGCTGCTGCTGGAGCCGCTGCTTGGCCTCCAGAACCGGGTTCTCAAATTGCGTCCGTCGGTTTATGTGGCTGTAAGCGAAGGAAAAGGCGAGTCGAGGAGATGGGGACAGCCAACCCTCTTCTGCTCAGGCTGATACAGGTGATACCATGCAGCGCTGAACTAGGCTTCAGCCACTGATCATTGAGAAGCTCAATTAAATGGCTCCATTCTTCAGAAACCCTCAAGTCAGGTAATCAGGGCTGTAATTAACTGTGTGCCAACTTGGAGAGATGGGAAAATAAAATGATCCTTGGATTTCTGCTCAATTTTCAGCGGCCGATGACGGTTTATTGGGGTGAAATAGAAGGTCAACCAGTGCATATGCTTTTAATGTGAAAATAATTTCAGAACCGCTGTGTTACTACGCCTCTTTAGAGTATCTCCACAAACCCAGCTCCTGAAAGACTGATGAGACTGGTTTTGGGGGGTCAGAGGCAGCAGTGCAGGTCTAGCACCCCTTGTGGCTTGAAAATGCCACTGCACACAGAATGAGCCAAAGTCACATCTCAGGTTGGGAGCACTTCCTCCTTAAGAACAAACAAGTCACAGAGCATCATTAGAGAAGAAAGACGACCAGATGCAAATACAATCTCATAGCTGACATTCGCTTAACAAGAGCAACAGCTTTGCCTTCAGACCCAAAATAAATATATTAAAAAAAAAAAAAGATACAGCTGTTTCTTGGGTAGATGAAGCACGCAGCAGAAGAAAGACCATGATTAATTCTCGACAGAGCAGTATGCCGGGAGAGAACCAGCAATTCATAAAAGAATAAAAAACTTACTCAACATAGTAACTGCCATACATTGGGTCATCGATTTTCTCCCAGCCGTACGGAAGTTCTGAAAAACAATTACAAAAGTAAATCTGTTATTCAACTGTCCTGAGAGACACAGTGAGAGAAGAATCAATTCTCAGAAGAATGACTCTGTAATGCGAACCAGTTTAATTACTGCTATTTTATGGTAATATTAACTGCACGAAATGTATCAATGACTGACAACGAAACAGATCCATAGCAGCACTTTAAATCATTGCTCCCTGTGACTGTGGAGCGCCCAATGTTACGGCCGTTCTGTAACGAGGCTGAGCTGCTGCAGGTGGACCTGATATTCCTGCTCGGTCCACGTCAAGAGGACACAATGGCCATGCAGAGCCAGTCCACATACCCAGAATGCCTTGCAAAATGACGCCGATACTCCCGATGCACTGCAGCCAGGACACCAGAGGTGTTTCTCAATATGCCTGCTTCACCATACTTTTGTTCTCACGTACCCGTTTTATGGCATCTTCCACGGCTAAAGACCAGTTCCAATACTAAGAACACAAGTACAGGGGACGGTAAACATCCCCGAATGTTGGTCTTGCTCCGCCCCAAATATCAAGGATACATTGGTTGTATCCTCGCCAAACGAGACCAATCCCATGATTCAGTGCTTCCTAAGTTTGTTCTGGGAGGCAAGTTACCAGACCACGCTTGCCAAGACCATGCCAAGAATGTTTCACATTCTGATTGGATGAAGATGACAGCTGGAGGGATGTACTTGGGCCCATGAGGGATTCCGCCTTATTCCACACTCCACGTCTGTCTGCGCTGAACAATAATTCAGTTTCACTCATTTTCAGCTGGAAATCAGAAGTTTCTCATAGGGTATCTACATGCGTTATTTCCACATACGGGTTCAGAAGCATAACTGCATTGATGGGAATGTTTTGCTTTTTTCAAGAGGGTGCCATGCAAGCTCGGTCACCTCAAATGGCCTTTTCGGAGTCAGGGTGATTACGGATGGCAGGGCACAAAGACAACACGCTTTCTGGAGTTAAGGGCAGTACTGAAAAGTGCTAGTGCTTCACGTGTTCCAGTAGAAAGCTGCGGCGAGCAGCAGATGGAGTGAGGGTGCTTATCAGACCCTGTTACAGTCTGCAGAAGCACCTCTGGCAAGCTAATTTTACTGGGCCCTGTGATGCGTGTGACCAGACGCTGAGCAGGATTCTCCGGTGCCTGTCATGCCCTCCAGCCGGCACTGTGGTGCTGTCGGAATTCCCCATTAGCTGAAGTGGGTCCAGCCTGAGGCGCAACGGGTAACAGTGATATGTGGTTAATTAGTTCAGCAGAACGTTGAATGAAGATGAGAATGACATCACACCTCAACATGACACTCTGACCGGGTGAGGTACGGGGGTGATGTGTGAGCTTGCTCTCTCTCTCTCTCTCTCTCTCGTGTCAGCAAAGCAAGACAAGACGCCACGTCAGCTGTGTTCCCAGAATCCCACAGGGCTACTTTGTGAGTTGTCTAAAGAGTTCCAGTGGGAGGTGGGTGAGGGGCATACTTCCCTTCGCTCCCATTTCATTGGTGCACATACTGTCCACACGGCGTCACTCGCAGGGGTTCCGCCATCTTGTAATTCGCTCCTTTCCTTAATGACATCCACGGCGTACTCGAGCACTGCTTTGTGTGACGTTCCGCGCTGGACTAGTAAGTAGGTCGTGGCAGGTCGGAAGTCAGTCGTCTTTCATCCCTCCCCAAAGAGTCCTGTTGACTCTGCTTGGCATGTGACAACGACACAACTTTTCTACTGTCGCTGTGACGCCAGGATCAAACCATGAGACTATTGGTAGTGGGGGTGGGGGACTGGCTTTTGAGCCACCTTATATCCTCGCATTTACATGCAGGCCCACTAATGCTAGTCCCGTTCTGGTTGCAAGACAGCTTCCATGACTATCACTCAGAGAGAAAATATCCCCTCACACCCAGCCTGGACTGTAGCTACCAATCCACTTGCACCCAGATATCCACCCCCACCCCAATGGCCGCGCCCCAATCCGCTCAGGAGAGCGAGGGCATGAGTTTCAAACTCATTTGCTCTTTCAAATCAAAGGACGCCTTCATTTGCTGAAATCAGAAAAAGAGGCCAAAACTTATTTTCGTACCGAAGGAGGGAATTTCCACGCCGCGACTCAGTGACATCAGACTCCCGCCTCGTGTCAGAAAACAAACCCCCCAGCGAAAGTAAGCGGCCCCGCTCGGGTTTGTCATCCAGCCCCAGTGGAGATGTTTCCTGCACTTGGCACCGCAGCGCAGCAGTGACCCTCTGCTCAGCCACACTCATCAGTGTGCGGAGATGGGAGGGGTCGTGGTGGCTGCAGCCCCCATGATGCCGCGCTCCATGACGCTCAGCCCTGCTGACTTGCCTGCCGGATGGTCATGCAGTCCCCAAGTGTCCCAAGCGGAAGAGCCACCGTCCTTTGAGCTGCTCACCTTGCCACTTGCCACAGAATGTCACCATGGAATCCGCTGGGAAGGCAAACAATATATCCCTGGAGAAGCCTGTCCATCACTAACAGCAGATACAGATGCATACTCATACACACACATACACACACTCACTAACATATATGCACTCACACATTCACTGTCACACTCTCTCACACACACACACACACAGTAGGAACTGCCCAGAACATCTGACTGCCTCCCCCCCTCCCCCCCCCCCCCACAGGTGTGCAAGCTGCTGATCCACATGCGGCACCCTGAGGTGTACCAGTGTTTGGGCGTGGTGCCCCCCCGCGACACTGCGAGTCTGCCTCGCTCTCCCCCCCCCCAAGCCGCAGGTGATCAAAGCCTGTTCATCATGTAAACGGTCCTCCACAGTGTCCCAGGACTACAGTGACAGACTCAGGTATCCCATAAATACCACTGGTTCTCCAACCTCCACATCCTGAATGCCAGCCAGCTGAGGACAGTGACCCCACTCTCTCTGACTCGTCACGGTACCGATACACCTGCACTAATTACTCACCTTCTGTGTTGACAAGCAAATTTTTACCTCATTTGTACCAGCGGCGCTAAAAATACATTTATTTATTTAATTCTCTGGGAGAGATTATTGTGCTGGGGTTTATTTTCATGGTGCGGCATCACGAGACCCCCCCACCCCCACATGAGCAGACACATGCACGATAAGCCAAAGACGCGGCCCTCTTTCTAGCTGCATCCTTGTCAAACAACTCAGAAGCGGCCCAGGTCTCACAGAAATTCCTCTGGGAGTCTCCAAGGACCCAAATGTGCTTCCCCAGTACACCCCAAGTCTTTCAGCTGACCCAAGGATATTGCCAAACACTCATTCTTCTATAACCAATTCCACACCCTCCCCCCCATTGCATGGTCCCAAATCCGTAAGAGTTGCAGCCTTAGAGCAGTATTTCCCAATCTGGTCCTCAGGGACTCACAGTCGGTCCATGTTTTTGCTCCCTCCCAGACAGTCCACATTTTTGCTCCTTCCCAGACAGTCCACGTTTTTGCTCCCTCCCAGACAGTCCACATTTTTGCTCCCTCCCAGACAGTCCACATTTTTGCTCCTTCCCAGACAGTCCACATTTTTGCTCCTTCCCAGACAGTCCACATTTTTGCT